AATTTCTTTTTTTAACTTGTTTATGTTAAGAAAATAAAAAGTACAAAAAAATAGACTAGAATGAACAAGGTTGCCAAAGGAATTTTAAACAAATACAACCAATACATTCACGCAGTCCAATGTTCTTATACTGCTGGAGCCTATCCACCCACCTTCTAATCCTAATCTGCACTTCCCTAGACTAGATGTCAAATTGTGAGCCAGTGATAACTGATTCCAGGGAGATCCCTGAATCTTAAAAGGCCAAGAAATTAGTCAAAAGAGCAAAGGAGGCTAAATTGGTGGACTCCCTCCAGTACCAAGCATAGATGGGCATTCCAAGGGGCATCACTCCCACCTGGCTAGAAAGGTCAACTCAGTTCCAGATCCAGGAAATTCTGGACAGGGACTTGAACTTCTATTGGCCTAAATCTGAGAGTGAAGGATTCATGACTCATCCTGACCAACTCTGACCACTTCAGTCCTGCAGCAACCTCCATGTAGTCTCCCCTTTCCCTTGATTATCTTGATTTTTGGCATCAAATGACAACATTAATGCAAAACTAAGGCACTCTACAGCTAGGACAAAGATCAGGAACTGTGTTTTTATGGCTATGCAGGAGGAACCTTACCTCACCCAAATAAGCAAAGCAAAGCAGCAGGCAACAACCTCTCATCAGAGAGAAGGAAAACATCATGAATGGAATGGAACAGTTGGTGTATGTGAAAACCTTTATCTGCCACCACTTTTCATCCACTAAAAGAATCTTGTATTGAAAACTGCAAGAATTCCACACGTACACATACACATACACACAGAGGAAATGGGATACCCAGGGACTGTTGCAGAAATTCTGCATTTTTGTACTGGGGAAGATTTGACCATCCAGTACGCTTCAACAAAAACCTGTCTAGGTTATAACTGTCAAGATAACATACTCAAAAACCTCTACACCCTACCCCAAAACACCAAGTTTGTAAACAGAGGAAAAAGTACTAGCAGCAACCCTACACATGCTGGCACTGTTTACAAACCTTAAGGATTATGACGGATAAGGAAACCACTCTCCTGTCTTATCTACCATTCGGAGCATCTAGTATTACGTCTAGAATTCTGATGGTTCGGCTGCTGTTTCCTTTAAAAGTCTAATTTAAGATTCTCTTTCCTTTATCAAGCTCCAACTCCCTTCCCAGCCACCGCGAAATCGTCCTGCCCTCCTCCTCCCAGTCTCCCAGCAGCCTTACCCGCCGCACAGTACGTTCTCCGGCCCTCCCCTCC